CATAAATCACTAAAGGATTTTGGTTATGAATTTGTTATTAAACTCTAAGAAAGATCTCACAAGTCTACTTGAAGTTTGAACTTCCAGATTCGTGGGAGAATCCATTATTAACGAAATGGAATTTGTGGAGTCTAGTAAGACTTAGAATCTTGTAGAGTTTCCCCTTGGTTATAAAGCCTTGGGTAATGTATCGGTGGAACCGAACAAGATTTGGCATCTTTCAGAATTATGAAAGAACCCTCTTGTTAAGGATTCTAGGGACTGATCTTCGGCACCCGTAATTATCGTAACAATTAGGGATTTAGGGATTTAGATGAGAATTGGGGATTAGGGATTGAAGAACGGAATTGGGGTTGAGATAGAAGAATGGCCGGCGGCCTTTAGGGAAGAGAGGGACGAGATTTGAGAGGGATTAGAGACTAGGGTTTGAAGGATACTTTCTGTAATATTATTCTTGACTGATTATGACGTAAACCCAAAGTACATATTTATAGGAAATAAACCCAAAACCCTAATAATTAATCTTAACCCATTCGTCTATACCTAGCCGCCTAACTCTACTAATCATGACACTACTAATATATATTCCTAACAAATTACTTCCTGGCAATGAAGCCAAGGTAATAAATGGATTCCTAAAAGGAAAACTGAAACCTGATGGATTAGTTTATGAGTATAATGATTGCCTAGTAGCTAAGACTTTAGGTGAAGAGGAAAAATTGTTGATTTCTTTGATATCTATTCACCAATATTAAGAATAACATCCATCACATGTATGTTAAAATTCTTTTGTGAATGGTGATTTGAATAAAGAAATCTACAGTGGGACAATCTTAAAGGTTGTTATTCTAGAACATGCTTCTGGTGTCTATGGTTAGACAAATCATTATATGATTTGAAATAGACTCACAATTAGTGGCATGAATAATCAGATTATCTCTCATGGTTTTAAAAGTGAAAGTGACAAGTGCATTAAGTACTAATTTGAGAATGACACTTGCATTATGAATGACACGTCGATCTTTGGTACAAAGATTCGTGATGTCAATATTGAAAAACCATGATGGTTGAGAATTTTGAATGTGAAGAATCTTAATGAAACAAATGTTATGCTTAGAGATCCTAATAAAATACAAGATGTACACCTGCATACATGTTTGATTATGCTAGTATAAATATTGGAAAAACACCTAAGACGGTGTAAGAAAGTTAGAATATACTAGCATTTACAGTCTGCGAGAGGCAGCTGATAAAAATGAGACCCGATTTAGTGGGGGTACTTAGCAGGCTTACTAATTGTCCTAGGATGAAGCATTGAAATGCTATTGAAAGGGGTCATGAGACACCTTAAGAGAACAGTAGAGCTTGAAATAAGTTATCAACGGTTTTTGCTGTATTGGTAGGGTATAGTGATGCGGATTAGAATACCCTATAGAGGACTCCAAGACAACAAGAGGTTGTGTTTTAAACATCGATAGAGAAGCTATGTCTTGGAAGTCTAAGAAGTAAACGATCCTGGCTCAATCAACTAAGAAATCATAAATGATACAACTAGCAATGGTCAGTAAAGAGGAAAGTTGATTGAGATGGTCACTACTAGAGATTCCCTTATGGGAAAGATTGATCCCTCCGGTAGTTGATTAATTGTGATAGCACCGCAGCTATTGCAATAGAAGGGACCGGTTCTAGAACGAAAAGAGACGACAAATTTTTCGTAAGCACAGTAGTGTAAGAGAACTCCTAACGATAGGAGCAATGAGGGTGGATCATGTAAGATCCTAATAGAATCTAGTTGATCCTTTGACGAAAGGATTACCTAGAGAGAAAAGTCCAAAATACCACGGAAGGTATGGGACTTATGCCTACCAAACCACGGACTACAAGTGATGGTAACCCGACACAATAGACTGGAGATCCCAAGAAATGGGTTCAATGGGTAATAACAAGTCATGAGTAGTATGCGAAAAGTTCATGCATAGTGAAGCATGAATCCCAAAGCAATGGAGGTTGAGTTAACAACTCTTAATGAGATATATACCCTATGTGGGGTGGAGTACTTTACTTTGGGAATACTCCTGATAGACTCACCTATGTGAATGTGGGAGTGGGGCCGCTCCCTATGGAAGTTTGGAGGCACAAAGTTGCTAGAGCGTTCACTAAACCGAGATAACGTGCATGGCCATAAACGCACGGCCTATGAGAGAATATCACTCAATGAAAAGATCCGGTGTGCTACATTGTCTGAGATAGGGTTCAAGACTACGAGTTACCCTTATGAAATCGGAAATGTAACCACTACGCTAAGGTTCAAATCTTCGCGATACCTTAGCTTATGCCCGATCTTATGGAACTGTTGATGCTTAGAGATAGTTTCAAAATTATTCAAGTGGGGGATTGTTGGGATGAATAGCTTTGAAAAGCTATAAATGAAATTCCTAATTAATTATTCAGTATTTTCCCTATAATACGAAAATAAGATGGATAATTAATAAAAGGAATATTATGAAGATAATTAGGAATAATTATCTTAATAGATTATATTTGAATTATGGGAGTAATTATCTCCCTAATTAAAATGTGACTTATTCCCAAAGAAAGAGGGAATATTCTGGGTTTTCTGCTCCTATAAATAGGAGACGCCCCAGACCAAACACACCTCAGAGAGTAGAAACACGAGATAGAGAGTGAGTTCATAGAGCTCCGGTTTTCGCACAAAGCCGATGAGCAACAAAATTAGAGTGGTTGTTTTATCCTGGAGGCGACCGGCTGATAGTCTGTCGTGCGCAACGAAGGCAGTGCCGTGAACGTCTTAAAGAGAGCGACCTAGTCCGCGACTCACCCAGATCGGTAACCCTATTTTTCTGTTCTGTTTCTAACAGTTTCCATGTGGAAACCAAATAGCAAATTAATATATATAAACTTGAAGTTGGTATACTATTGCCTAAACTTGCAAGCTGATTGGGGAGTTGTGCATTTTACATTTTGATACCCTAAATTTTAAATTACAACTTAGTCAGTATAATACACGTTTTATATTTTGATACCCCAATTTAATTTTAATGTAAAATCATTGAACAATTATATTTTGGTATCAAAATTTTATGAGATTTTGGTACCTACAATTTCTGTAAATTTACATATTGGTTCAATGTTTAGATTTCACTTGAATCAATGAATCCAATCCACCAATTCTTTTGAATCAATCCATGAATCCAATCCACCATAACAAAAAAAAAAATTAGTTTGTACCATACAAGATGTTGTATCACTCAACTGTAGGAGAAGATTCGGCCATTTTATATTTGTTCATTATGTGAAATATTAAATAAATGATAAACGATATACGACTCTAAAATATTGTAAGAACGATTTTATAAACTTATTTAGTACATTTACGGGGTACTAAACAAATTTCTACTAACTACATGTAACAAAATAGGCGACATCTACTTTAGCAAGTGTCAATAAATTGCTACGGTGAAAATTGTTGAATGTTGTATTGACGGCCAACTAAAAGAATTGGTCAAAATCTTTCCATCATCTACTTCCTCTTTATTTCATTTTTCACTTGTCTTCCATAACTCTTTCTTTATTTCTTTCTTTGCCTTCTTCATCTACCTCTAATTAGTATACAATTTTTATGTATTCTAATCACAAGTATGAACGAGTCTATACACAACTTATCAACAGTCTAGAGAATTAATAATTGAACCATAAACCACTAACCCTTTCAGCTCAGTGTCAAGTCCAATTAAAAATAAATATATATGGTTATTACTTATTAGAAAGTCATCATTTTCTACTATGGGATTTGAAAGCGTGAAATTTTAAGCAAATTCCAATTTGTATTCCTTTTTCTTCTCTCTAAAGTTGTTCTTTTTCACCCGGGCTAGAATTTTCAACAATTATACATGAAATATTTGACTAGATATCTACACATATCAAATAATAATTTCCATTTTTCTATAAAAAATTAAAGAATTATCATCTTATATACGTCACCATAAAGGAATTAAGCTCAACTATACAAATTACAGTTCGATACCTAAACTTATTAGATCTTTAAATTTATAACCTAAATTTACCTTTTTGACACATAAGTTCTCAAAATATTGATGAAATATTACATTTTAGTATCTAAAATTTTGTGTATGACATTTTGGTACCTTAACTTTTGAATTTCTACAAATATGTCTAATTTTTGTATGTTTAATTAAAAAACCCTCGAATAAATTGGTATCCATACCCAACTCATACACATTAAAATTATGTAAATAGGGAAAAATATAATCCAAAAGACACCGAGAAAAGAGGAACTGTACCAAAATATATTTGCGGGAACATCAGCTCCGCTGTAGTCAAATGGGGAATAAGTAGGTTTGGACTTTGGATATCATACAACCAGTTTAGAGAATGGAGGAATTTTACAATGCTATATAGCATTGGTGCTATAGGTTTTTACCTTTATGGTACAACTTGAAATTGTACCTTTAATGTTATGGTACAACTTCAGATTGTACCTATACTTTTTGTACAAATTCTTTTATGGTACAACTTAAACTTGTACCTTATGTGATGGTACAACTTCAAGTTGTAAATTTGTACCATAACATAATGATACAAATTCCTTTATGGTACAACCTAAACTTGTACATTTAATGTTATGGTACAACTTCAAGTTGTACATTAAAACACCAATACTATATAGCATAGTAGAATTGCTCTAGAGAAGGATCTAGAGAAAAATATAATCCAAAAAAGACACCCCAAAAAAGAGTTGACCCACTGTACAATACCGTACCAAAATATAATTGTGGGAACCTCAGCTCTGCTGTCCTAAAATGGGGAATAAGTTTTTGATTTTCATATATACCCAGTTCAGACTTCAGAGAAGGATATAAGTAGGGGGAAATATAATCCCAAAGAACACCCCAAAAAAAAGGACCCACTGTACTACCCTGTACCAAAATATATTTGTGGGAACCTCACCTTCGCTGTCCTCATTCTAAATTCTTGCGGACTTTAAGCAGCTTGACGTCGTACACTAGCCATTTCTCTGCTCCCTCGCTCTTATCATCAACATCACAATCCAGTGGGAGTGGTGGTACTGTGGTTGTAATCACCTCCCCGCCATCTACTCCTTCACTCCCATTTCCATGCCTAGTGCTGCTGCTTCTGCATCACAAGCATAACCGCTTATCAACAAACAACAATTTGGCATCAACAAAGAGAAGATTGGGTCCTCCTTGTTCTGACTGACTAACTGACTCAGCTACTTGCTTCGTTGCCAAGAAACCAACCAACCAACCTTGTGCATGAGGGAGCAGGGAATGTCAGCCGCCTCAACTCACCAACCCGCATACCTGCAACCAGTACCACCACACAACTTCCGTTAACTACTACTACCTGCCTCATTCGATACAGGTAAAAGCAAACTGAACACACGAAACAAAACAGCAAGATAGACAAAAGCATGACAACACGGTACCCTACCATTCAGACCAACATTCCAAGCCTCTGTAACCTCTTCCCCACCTGCAGCAAACATGACAGGATTACTGAATAAAAGAACTAAAACTTCGATTTCTTTCAAAATAAGACCGATCACAAACTCAGTGAGATGCTAAAGATCAATCTCCTACCTAGCACAAACTTCAGTGGACGCCCATCAATGTTCGAATTCAAAACTTCTCCAGTATTCTTCCACTTGCCAGTATAAGATACACTGATCTAGAAGCACAGCAAAAAGAGACAGAGTTTTAAAAACTAACCTACAAATTAATTTGCACAACATAAAACATGTTAGAGATATAATCAACTAGTAAAGATTCCCAAACTCGTACAGACTCACTCTGGGACTATGGGAGAAGTACAGTTACAAAGACATCAAGAATTCATGACCCGGTTAGCATAGATAACATAGCAATCATGCATGCATCCGGTCCATTATGGAAATGACAGTCAACCTAGTCTCTTATTTTTTACTTTTCTTTTTTACTTTTATGACCTATATTTACTTGTCTGAATACAAACGACTCCTGCCATTTGAAGCTCCACGTGCCTGTTGTCAGAGATGCTAAATGAAAGAAAGAGATTTAACCAGTATAAATGCTCTCAGCAAAACTATAGACATAAGCGCACACAAATAACACTAGAAGCAATAAAATACAGGCACAATTAACAATAAAGAGCAAGTGGAAGAGTAAAATATGCAACTAAACGGGCTTCACAGAAACAAATACCTAAATCAAAAGCAAGCATAGCCTTCACGCTTTGCCTCTGAGGCTAAAACATAAAACAGCTATTTAGACTCTTTCTTTTCTAAATAATTGAAGATCTCAGGATTCGGTGAATCGTTTCTTTCAAAAGTCCTGCTAATTAATTTGCATACATTCACAATAAACCGCACACTAACACCATAGGGCAATCACTAATATAACCTTTGGATGTTAAGAAGTATACGTTAAAGTGAGCAAAAACAAAAATGATACTTGATAGTCATTCTTCCAATGAACCTACCTTCCTGCCCAGAGCAGCCAATCTTCCTTCCGTTTTCCCTGGTTCTAGCTCCTCTACAAGTAATCCCCCTGCAAATGTCTGGACCTGAGATAACTTGGTCTTAGCAAAACCTTCGTCAATTTTGGCAGGTTGATTGTCCTCGCCCTTTGGTGCAGCAGGTGTTTCAGCATTCAAACGCTTCCTTAGCTTCTGCCTATTAATTCTCTTTTCCTTTCCTTCTTCAGTATCATCAACAGATTGACTGCCCAACTCCTGAGATGATTTGATCTCAACAGCATCATCCTCAATGTTAGCATGTTCATTTTCCTCGGCCTTGGATGGCACAGAAGCTCCAGCATTCAAGGCCTTGCCAAGCTTGTCAATTTTACGTTTCTTTCGTTTCTTACCCTCTTGATCAGTCTCAGCAACAACCTGATCAGCCAAACAGATAGATATCCTGCACATCACATCATGTAGTACCAACATTATTCAAACAACAAGCTATAACAATTTATCCATCTAAAAAAAAGCCATAACATTTGCATTTGCAAAAATGTATTGGATGCTCAAACCACAAGCCGATCTAGCCAAATGCTTATCAATTGACATGTAGCCACCAAATACCAGATATTGAAAGAGAAACGTCAAAATTTCCTTCTATATATTTGACTTTGAGACTAAATTGCAAAGACTAAACACTCAATGCTTCAACTATTGTCTGTTGCCAAGACTACAGTCAACTCTATTGCTTGCCTCCAAATCAGCTTTAATTACATACTAAACCAGCCCTCACATTTTTCGCTTCTTATCCTTGTATTTTGGAAGGGACAGAACAGTTAGTCAAACAGAAGTGGCCATAAGGATTATAGAGTGCAAGCCACAAGGAGTAAAAAACACAAAGATAGAATGCAAGCCACAATCAAAATCTCAAAAAGCCAAATATACTAACAGGGAAGAAGAATTGTCTTTGTCATACTCAGCCGGTGAAGAAAAATCATTATACAAAACAGTGGGTGTCGATCCATGATTCTCTCCGTCCTCTTTGATAGAGAAGCTATTGTCACACTTTTCCTGAGAGGCATACCCGTCGACTAGTACTTTCCGTTTTCTCTTTCTCTTTTCACTTTTTTGAAGATCTGTCTGCTTGGGAGGAGACCTGGAATTCAAGGCACATTGTTACCTCTTAGAGGGAATGACAGAAGGGAAAATGTGAGCAGGTAGAGAAGAACTATTGTAGAGCAAGTGTTGAAAACGGCTATTGAAAGGGATGCTCACTCACCCAAAATATGCAGCGTCCTTATCTACTTCCTTCAACAGAGACACATGATCACCAACCTTGTCATTCTTTTTCTCATTGTCCTTACGATTTGGCCACTTAAGGATGCTTACCGAGAAAAAATCATCTGGACCATCAGCTTCATGTAGGTTCTTCAATTTACCCTTATCTTTCATTTGGCTCTTGAGCTCATCCCGGTGCCTGCAAGAAACAAAAAAAAAGTGTCAAAGTGAAAACAAAAGAATACAAGAAATATAGATGCCCGCCCTTCATTCCTACTTCACAAAAGAATATCTTCCTCGGCATATAATTTCATTAGCTTACCTTTTGTTCCACATTAGAATTAGAACGCACATGCTTTTACTTTTTTCACCCAAAATTATTCAATTGGGAAACAGATGAAACAATTTTATTTAAAATCTCTATGCACATCAAACAGCTTTCAGGATGTTGCCTTAGTCAACATTCATTATATTTAAATTAGGCTCCCTACTTACCTTTGCTGATTACCATCTACAATGGCACTTGGCTGTTCCACCAAAGTCAAGTTATTTGATGGTAAATCAGTCTCATTATGAACTCTGGCAGAAGGCTTCTTCTTATGTAGAGATGAAATAAGGAACAAACCATCATCTTCTTCGCTATCCACTCCAGCATCAACATTATAACCAAATCCCTTGGCCTGATGATCAGAAGAGTTGTCATCATCTGAGTCAGTTAACTTGTATGTCTTCCTTAGACGTTTATAGCGGCACTTCTGGTTCACAGGCTTTGCATTTACCTCTTTGACTGGTAAGATAAAAGAAAATTGAATGTACAAGAGCAAATGTATTAGAATAATTTATTTCCCCAGACAGACTTGAAGGAGAAGGAAGAAAAGAATATCCCACTTTTCCCAGAAAGAGAAAGTAATAGACCTCCATCACCAGAAACAAGAGAAGCAGACATGGTTCCTGGATCACCATCATTGATAAAACTATTCTCCTGGCCATCTTCTTCACTGTCATGGACAGACCTGTCTGTATCTGAATCTCCAATATCTTCACCATAAGAAACTCTAAGAGCCAAAAGTAAAGAACAAACAAGCCAACTTCCAAGTCTATTATGAAGAGTCTACTTCACAAATTGAGAAAATAAGAGGGACTTTGATTTGGTTCATTAACTAGCTTAAGTATTGTAGAACTAAGCCAAACACAAAGTTAAAGGAGGCAAAACATGAGAAGTCTAAGCAAACAGAAAGAATCATTCTTTCACATAATCGACAAGATATAATATGTGCAGCTACCTTATGGTTTGTATGTCAATGATTTCTTTATAATGGTGAAGCAATTAAATTAAGCATAAGGAAATCGATTACAAAACAGAAACGAAAGGAGAAACAAACAAATGCCCAGCAGATCACCAGAGTTGAGGCAAGCCAGGTAAGAGTAAAAAAAGATGCAGCCAAGAGGAACAAAACAATAAAAGGAAACTGGAATAGCAAGGAAGCAAAATGGGGCAGTAAAAAGGATACGAGTCATCACCAGCCTTGTGATTCCCACCATAGTCCTTATAGTAACCACTAAGGTGAACACTACGAGGACCAATAACAGAGAACACAACATCGTCGGTCTCCTGATACTCAACATGTATTTGGCACACCTCAGAGTTATTAGGGAACAATGTACACAGACAGATAGGACTCTTGTTTCCAACATTACACTGAAGTATGCTCTTATTGGTAGCAGTACCATTCCCCAAAGAGGCCTGACCCATAACAATGAACAGTAGCAAATGAAGGAAGAACCATTAAGTGAAAACAATGAACTTCGGAGGTACTCAGTTGTGGAAAATGACAGAGAGAGAAAACCAAGCCAACCTGCGAAACGTGTAGCCTTCTATTCCCACCATCAGACGTATGAGTGAAGGGCCTCCCAGGTTTCACTTCAACTCCTGAAACCGTAAGGCAAACGAAGTAGCTGAAATAACAAACAAGCCAACCATATGCCGACGAAATCATCTTTTAGGTCAGGTGGAGATAGGATGAGCTGCTAACCCCAAAAAGCCATAGCTGATAACTAGAAATCCAAGCAGCAACAGCAACCAGTTTGGGAGAGATGCAAGGACGAAGAAACCCTAGGGATTCTGGACGACAAGACAACAAGCGATTAGTTTTAAACGACTACTTTCCCTTCCAGAAAGAGAGAGAAAAGAGGGAGCTAGATTACCGCAGCGTTTGTTTCCACTTTCCAAGGAAAACCTCAGTCGCTTTCTCCTTTTTCTTCTTCCTCCTCTGCCAGCCTGCTCCCGTGCTTCGTCTCCTCGGTCTCTGCTACTTGCAATAATCACCCTTCCGCCGTCTATTCCGATTCTCAATAATAAAAATTAAAAAGCGAAGGCGAAGTTTGGGCGCCTAATTTTTGAGCGGGAGAAGCAAGGTTGTCAACCCCGTGGGTTGACCCGCGGGTCGACCCACTTTGACTCTGACTCAGTGAGAAAAACGGGCCATACGCACCCGTCGAGCCCACCGCTACAAGGTACAGGGTTGGAGGTCAAATTGTGTCATTTTTTTCTTTGGTTTGCGAAATGCGCCTATTTTCCGATTTTTCTTTTCGCCTAACTTAATCTTTGGAATCCTAAGTTGGACATTTGAATATTTATGTTATCTAAGTGTGCGTGAATTTTCACTATATGTTGGATCTAAGTATGATATGTTATTTTGGTGTAATATTATATGTTATAAGTCATATGCTAGATAAGATTTGATATAATTTATGAGGATAAGTACAATATAATGACTTTTTTTATATTTCCAGACCAAACCGGGCTAAAACGGTTGACCCATTAACCCTTGACCCACTAGCTTGACCGGGTCCGGGTCAACCCGCGGGTTGACAACCTTGGGGAGAAGTGAATGACATCGTGAGACAATTTGGCGTTCCCCCAGCCGAAGGACTTTTAGTGGGTACGGGTAAAACCCGAAATCGAATATTGTGGGTAATGGGTGGGCATGGGTTTCTCACCATCCAACCCGAACCCATCTGATTATACAAATGCATATGTATTTTTCTAGAAATAATCATTAGTTTTCTACCCGTTTCTTATGTGGGTATGGGTAAAATCTGAACTACATTGGGTAGAGTAACGTATATGCACTATCCGCCCCCGACCTAACTCATTGTCATCCCTATTATAAAGTCTCTATTTATATAAAAGTCTCTATTTTTTTCCGGTACAATCTTTGGTGCGGTTTAGAAAAAAATACAAATTTTATTCACAATTCATAAGTAGAATATTAATATACAACCAAATTATTTTGCTACTACATAATCAATAAAATAACATATTCATCACATTTCCCAATACACACTTTCCTTCTCATTTTCCTTCATAAAACAACATTTTTCTCTCAATTTCCTTCACCTCTAAATCTCCCCTCCCCTCCTAATTTCCCTTCCACCCCCCCCCCCCTCCTTTTCCTCCCTTCCTTCGGAAACATAGTGTCAATCTCTAACCTAATTTGGCTCTAGGATTCTTCCCCTGTCGCTAGGATTGCTAATCCATCGAGCTACTCGTCAGCGGCTTGATTTTTAACTCGATAAAAGCTTATTCGATTAAAAAAGCTTGCTTGTTAATAAACGAGTCGAGCTTGAGCTCTACCTTTTTCGGCTCATGAAGCTCGTGAACTGTCTCGATTAGGTGGCTCGTTGAATACAACTCATGAACTATCTCGTTTTGAGCTTATGAGATGTCCCAACATTGTGACTAGAGAGCCAACTCGACTACAACTTATGAGAAAATCAATTTATATTTTATGAGTTGTTTTGTTAATGATGCATATAATTATTAAATTGTATATATCACCTCATATGGTGTTAAATACATTGAGTATATGTAAGCAAATATGTCTCATATATGACATAACATTAGGTAATCACATGTATCACATATGACATATAAATATTTGAGTATTTATATTATAAATTATCTTAGAGTTGAGCTCGAACCGAACTTTTGATTTTAATGATATGTCAAGATTTAATAAATAGCTTGTTCGTGTTCGGCTCGTTTATATACAATTTAATAATTATATGCATCATTAACAAACCAACTCATATAATATAGATTGATTTTCTCATAAGCTGTAGTCGAGTTGGCTCTATAGTCACAATGTTGGGACATCTCATAAGCTCAAAACGAGACAGCTCATAAGTTGTATTCAACGAGCCACCTAATCGAGCTAGTTCACGAGCTTCACGAGCCGAACAAGGTAGAGCTCAAGCTCGTCTCGTTTATTAACGAGCCGAGCTTTTTTTTAATTGAACAAGCTTTTATCGAGTTGCTCGGCTCGTTTATAAACGAGCGGAACATGAACAAGGCAAAGCTTGACTCAGCTCGGCTCATTAACAACCCTACATGCCGCTGTCGTTCCCCGTCGCTATGGGACTAGGGGTAGACACGTGGTGGTTAATTCGCGGATTGACATCGATTTACCCGCAAATAACTCGACCCGAATGTTGTGGATGATTGATGCGGGGTGGATTGTGGATTGGTGAATTTCCCACCCGCATTGATGTGGGTGGGTGGTGGGTGGATTGTGGGTCATTCACATCCCATTTTCACAAGAAAAATGTTGCTTTTTATAGTATTGAATATCCATCAAATTTCCGAAACGCACTACAATATGATCATATACTTCTAAAGGTGGAGAATAAATAATAGTTTTGACTACTGTGTTGTGTAATATCCATTGGATATTGGAATTCAAATTATTGTTGATATTCATTAAATATTGAGATCAAAACAATAAATTATTAACTGTATAAAAATCACAAAATGCTTAAGTTTTCTCTACACAATTGGTGGATAGAGTAGTAATTTTTTTTATGCAAATACTACATGGATTCACTTGAGACAAAAGTGAGAAGTATCTAAATTGATACAATCTTACTAATTTGCTGTGAACTTATTATTGTTAGTCAATTTCTTTAATGACTAGTTGGAAAATTGCTTCTACGGGTTAATCCACGACCCGACCGCACACATCCGCCACCCACTCAACCCGATTCGCAGAAGAATGTGAGTGGATTGCTTTGCGGGTCACAATTATTCCAACTCGTAAGAAAGCGGGTGGGTCAATTTGAGACGAAAACCCACCCAACTCACCCATTGCCCACCCCTACCCGTCGTTGTTCGCCACCAAAATTTGCCCTAGTATTTTAAATCTCGTCCCGCCGGCCATGCCTGCTTGGTGCGTTGATCGAGGACGCAGAAAAGAATCTCACTGCCATGCCTGCTCGGTGTCGAGCGATGGTGAGGAGGAAGAAGGAAGTGCCTCGCCGCGACCCGACCATTGACCCGCTCAGGACAGGCCAGGAACCCGACCATTGACCTTCTATAATGTCATGCCCTTGCTGGATCTTGTCTCAGCGAATTAGAATAGAGACAGGTACGACATTGGAAGAGAACGAAGATTATTTGAGCAGAAGAATCAGAGAATCAGAAGAGGAGAGGAGGAAGAAGAAGAGAAGAGATAGAATGTAGGAAGGAAGCAAGTTTCTTGTTCTGTAATTCGTTAGATCTCAACAGTACATCAATACCGCTTTTATAGCTTGTGCCAAATATCTAAAGTAGTCATTCTATCTTTTATCCCTATCTTTTATCCCTTGCAACTAAGTCATAACATATATTGGTTCATTACAACTCCCCATCCCTTAAGGACAGACTTGTCCTCAAGTCTGAGACTAGTTAGGACCAAGGTACAAATCAACAATGAAATTACTAAATCAAAAGGAAACAAACTCAAATTGTAGTAGTATTGAGTGATGACAACTTCTTCAGCCTAAAAGTTGATGGTGGCTGCTACTCAAATGGCAAGTAAGTTGTTGGAATGATACTGCCAATCCATGAGTCAATGGCTGCTACTGTGGTGTCGCCTTGAGATTTCAAGAGTGGAAGCCACAAGCCAATGAAGCATGTGTATCCCATGAGAAAGAAACAAATTACAGTAGTACACAATGTTGCCCATCTCATAATCATCACCATGACAGCAAAAACTACAACTGACCAACACTCCTTATAAGGCTCCTTAAAGTTGGGAGTTGGATTCCTGCCATTAACATCAATAATTTCATAGCAAACACACACAAGTAAACTCATAATCACTGCCACACATCCCATCATCTTTGTGTAAACTTCACTCGTGGCCACCAATACCCACGATTCCAACTGACATTGTTCAATTCAACAACGCAACCAATGAACCCAAAATCAGACCCACCATGGCAAGGGTCGCCAAAAATGAAACCGATAGCCTCCCCATCTACACTCGTGACCTTGCCAACCACATATGGACTTGGCTGCATAGTTATCAAACCCATCACATCTATATCAAGAACAACACCAAAACAAAATTTATCCTTCCCGGACAATGCTATCCTTCCCTGGTCTGTCTCTACGACATTAGCAAGAGCGTAGGCTGTCATTTGACTAGGATTACATGTTGTCGCTTGCACAATTTATGCATAAGATTTGTTCGCAACACCCTCGAGGACTACAAAACCCCCCAAATTTAGAAAATGCAAGACCACCATCACTGTTGGGTGCAATACTCTCAATAGCCACAACTAAGTCACCATTCCAAACCTTGACTTCTGAGGTAGGAACAAGTGCATTCATTACATGTTCATATCCACTCACCACACTCATTTTTGAATATGAACCATTAGTCTCTACCTCTACCACACTGCCTACACTGTCTTATTCTACCTCAGAACCAACTTTGATCTCAGGCATGTTACTATCCTTTTGATTAATTACAATTTGTCGTTGATGAACCTACCTTTTCCCAAGTGGTGCACCATCCAAAACGGGCGCACACTGCTGCTGCTGCAAACTCACTCCAAACCCAAACTGAATGACAAAAAGTCCAGATCCCAAACCAAATACGGGCCCTTTTCTGTGAATTAATGGTAGCCAACTTGACCTTCTGATAATCCGGAATGTCAATTTTTTCAAACAATTGCTCTCACTCCCTAATCTAGCCCTTTGGACTCTCAGCGGAGAAGGC